CTTTAGGACACAGAGAGTTGATTGCTAAAACTTTACTCTGGCACCAGGGCTGCCTGTATTAAATCAAGGCCTTTGTCTGCCTGTGGCTCGATTTGAGACAACTTAACACTATTGCTGTCCCATTTAAGAGTTCTTTCCAGAGATTGCTTTATGTGCTGTTTTCATAGCCTTACAGTCTAGTAACATATTTTATTCCTAACTGGATAAACTCTATAATTGAAACATTTTAAAATTCAAAGAGGCAGCAAAAATAAAAAATGAACCATTCAGTTTTGAAGAGGGGAGCAGTTACAGGGCTTGGAAAAGTTACTTTTGGGGCTGCTAGTCATTCAGGTAATTGTAACATGCCTGCATTTGATGTTGTAAATGGCCATGGTAGAAAGTGTCAGCTCTATTTACTACATTTGAAAGTTTGAAGAGACTATTTACTACATTTGAAAGTTTCACCATTTATATTTAATAGGATCATAGTTTTAAGCTCTAGTTTATCTTTTTGAAATCTAAAGGCAGAGTAGGTTTTATAAGTATCTTTTACTTTTCCAAGTACTTGAGTGCCAAATTATAAGGATGTCCAACTGAGAAAAGCAGAAATGAGAAAATGCTCAGGTAAATGATGGAGAGAGGATGCCAGTCTTAAAAGACCCAGGACTCCCTGTGGATACCAAATTTCATGGATGTTCCAGTCCCATTATATACAATGATCTAGTAAAATTGTGTGCTTTATGTAAAATGATAAAGTCAAGGGTTGCTATTTGGACTTTTAAACAATTTTTTCAACCTGTGAATGGTGCAATCTCTGGATATAAATTGGTGAATACAAAAGGCTGATTGCATTTTGAGCGTGTATGGATTGGGGTGCTTCCTTCATATGAATTTTTCTATAGTTTAGAGGGAATGTTCTTTTAATGTTTAGTCTGATTTAGAGATGGCAAAAATATTTAAGAAATGGCCAGAAAATGCGTTTTTTGAGTGTTGAAATGAATCAGGACAAATGAGAATCTTCACAGCTATTGTTGCCAAGGAAATATTATTTTCTGCATGGAAAATGATGTTACTGATGCCAAACAATCATATACAAATTTTGCACAGAATATTATTTTCTACACATAGAAAGCTGCTTCCAGTTCAGGAAATGATTGAGGAGTTATTCTGTTTAAAATATGCATGGAGTTGATTTGCATATGAAACAATATTTTAATTGTGGGAAACAGTTATGATGTGTCAGATGAAAAGCGTATCATTTTTATTATTTCTGTGAGCTGTTTTCTATCCAAAATGAAAATATGTGAATTTTGTACATATTAGGCCCTCTGTGATTTTCCAAAATTTACTCCTCTTTCAAGAAGAAAATTGGTGAAGAATTCAATCCCTAATATGATATTTTAGTGTCATTTTACTACCAATGTTATAATTTGATATTCATTTTATTTAAAATTCAGAGACCTTATACTTAAATCATCTCCCTCACCTCTCTCAATTCTCATTCTGGAAATATGTATAAGCTGACTATCCAGGAAAGCATTTGTGAATCTAATTCTAGGATTTGTGCAGTAAGCTGATATGATAAGCATGTTTTGGGACCGTATGAACTGCCTACCTTTGGGGGGAAAGTAATGTGCTGTATAAATTTATCTCCTATTTCTTCATCAGTTTATTAGTTAAATCTCTCTCCGGGTTTTTGATGCCCTAGTTTACTGCACTGTTTCTAATTTTAAAATGCCTGAGGGGAGTCAGGCTTGTATTCAATACTGAAAAAATAAATAAATGAAATAAAATCATTATTAAAGAATTGTGCAGATATACCCAGAAGGCAATAAACAATAAAACTATCTCAATAGGAAACCAATAAGCTTTAATGAAAGGCTAGGAAATCTTGCGCCCTCCAGATGTTGGGGATTTGAATAATCCCTCCCCATACCATTGCCACAGTTGAAATTGATAGAAGTTGGAATCCTGCAAGTTTTGGGAAATGGTAAAGAAACATTTTCAAAAGATTTTTACTAGGAAAAAAGTAATGGTGAGAATTATGTAGCAGCCTTCACTGAATTGGCTTAGTAGTTGTTTTGTGATGCCCACATGTCGTAGGCAAAGTTGGTGACACGTACTGTTCCTCATTCATAAATAACCCTCCTGCCATGTGGGAAAGGCACTATTTCACATGCAGGCTGTGACTGTGCCATAAATGGAAATTAAAATGCAGCTGCACTTCTAAGGAGGTTTGCTTGAAAGCCAACTCCATTAAAATCATTAGAATTAGCTCAGGGATAAGCCCAACATCTGACATGACACAGCATCCTACTATAGTAGGCTAGTCACTTTTTCTTTTAAAAATGCCTAGCATATTTAATAAAGGTTATGGAAATAAAATTGGACTCTATAGGGGAAGGGGCGAGTTACAAGTGTAACAGGTTTTTGCCTACTATGCAAGTTAGCTGGTGGTGTTATCTATAGAACGGTGCCCAAATACTAATGTTCAGTAAGAATATGTAACCTTGTGTGTGCTTTTATAAGATATGGTTCAATTACTGTTGTTCTGTATCATTTTAAAATATTTACAGTAGGTTTATTATGCCCCATTTTTGGACTTCCCTTTTTTCATGCCAGGAGTAACTTGAGACATTGCCTGGGGGATGCCCAGGGGATACCTAGATGTTTAGCATCCTGTAGAACGCTTATTTCATGTCCCTGTGTGAGAAGCTGGAACTGACATATGTGAGCTCACCCTGCTTCTCAGATTTGAACTGCCAACCTTTGGTCAGCAGTCCTGCTGTCACAAGGGTTTAATCCATCGTGGCACCGGGGTCTCCTTTTGGACTTTCCTCATATAGGCTTAAACATGTTGTGTTGAGGCTCATGTTCACAGCGACATACCTACTACCAGTTGCAGGAGAAGGAGTGATGCTGAGTCAGACTTGGATCAGCGTCAGCTGAAGCGCATTCGTGATATCATTTTGGCCCCGAGCGATTCGGAGGACTTTGCAGGGTTCGGCCCTGAGGACCTAGTAGAGTCAGATTACCGGGGAGTAAAGCGAGTGGCCAGTGAGTCTGACAGTGATAATGATTCCCTGAATAAGAGACTTAAAGATACAGCTGACAATTCCAGTTCAGAGGAATTGGAACCCAGTAAGGATGAAATGGAGGAGGAACTGGATTGGACTCTTGTTAAGAACATTAGGGACATATGCACCCAAGCTACATCCAGCAATGAGTTCGAAGGGTTCCAAAATACTTGGAAGGAAGGTTCATCTTGGCAGGATCAGGAATTAGACCAACGATGGCAGCGTTGGCGTGGCCAAGAGGCAGCAGCTGAGGGAAATAAGTCAGATGCTAGTAATGAAGATCAATCAAGTGATAGTGACTGTGAATAAATTGAGCAAGCTGGGATGTGTAAGTTTGCAGAAGACAAAGTGTTGCTTATGTGCTTTGTGCTGCCTAACCTCTGTTTGGGTCCCTGGTATCCAGCTTTCCTGCCTTGTGTATCTTGACTTCGGAACCGTTCTACGTGAGTGACTTCATCCTGCCTCTGACCTTGGAATCGGCTTTGGACTATGCAACTGCTTATCGGACTTTGTTATTGTTCTGGACTCTGCTTGATATTGAAGCTGTTTTGATTTTGTGTTTGCCACACGCTCAAGTTAACTTCTGCTTTCCTTTTTGCTGAGCTCAAGTCCTGGAAGATCCGGCTTATCACTTCTTTGTTTACCTGCTTGAAGGCTCTTTTGTTTTGCTAATTACACTGCTGTTAAGTGCTGTTTTCAGTTAGAGACTTATTAAATACTGCTATTATTTATTTATTTATTTATTTATTTACAGTTCTTATATTCCGCCCTTCTCACCCCGCAGGGGACTCAGGGCGGATTACAGTAAACACATATATGGCAAACATTCAATGCCAGTTTGACAAACAACATTTAACAGACAAAGGCTATTTAACTTTTTTTTCTGGCCGCCAGGGGAGCTGCTGCTTTTCATCGTCCATCAACGACACCGATGAAGTTCTTCCGCATTCCACATTCCCCGGAGTCTTCTTTCTTTATGGCCTCATAAATTAGTTAAATTTAGCCTCCCACACAAGGTGGTCCCTTATTTTCCTACTTGACAGATGCAACTGTCTTTCGGGTTGCAAAGGTCGACAACGGGCTACACAATGGCTGGACACCCACTCCAGCCCGGGCTGGCTTCGAACTCATGACCTTTTGGTCAGAGTGATCTTAATGCAGCTGACACTCAGCCAGCTGCGCCACAATCCCGGTGCTATTAACACTTCAGTTGCTGTGTAAGACAATCTCTGTTACCTGAGTCACAACATGTTGTGCTATTTAAAGGTATAAATGGTTTATCATCAATTAGCACACAACATTTGCTTCCTTTTTGTTGCTTGTATATATATGTGCCTTTCACTATTCTCTATTTGAGGATTTTAGAAGTCATAGGCCCAACATATAATATGCTTCCTGGTGTTCTGAAGATGTCAGGGATTGCACAAGATACAAACCTTTCTCCTGCAGTGTACAATGTGACTCAGACCTAATGCCAGGATGCAGTCTGCCGCCTTGCTACTTATTCCAGATATAGAAAACACAAATAACTGGTCCTAACATTTGAAGCAGAACCATCCATCACTTAACCTTAGAAATGGATGCCGACAGCCAGTTTAGTTTTGGCAGTATTGCACTTTCCTCTTAAATGTTTCCAGGTCAGATTGCAGCCTTGAGGCTCTTGGTATCAAATTCTAGGCACTTATCTTTAAATTGCAGCTAAAAATATGACAAGACAGGGTTTTATTACTCCTTCCCACCCACTCAGCCTAGTCTACAAATGAATAGATGTCCATTCTTTTGAGTCTGAAGAACATAACTGTTATGATATGCATAGCATGGTGTATTTAAAAGTATCTTCTCTTTGAAGTGGCTTTTCCATCCTTTTGCTGTATTTGTCCCTTTTGGAGGGTCAAATGTGCCTCACTTGTTTAATCTAAGCTCTACTCCATCTTATTTCAGCTTCTGCTCAAACAAGTGGCTACCCACGGGTCACTATGGCAGCCAAGCAGCCTCCCCCTCTGATGAAGAAGCACAGCCAGACAGATCTTGTGAGCCGACTGAAGACACGAAAGATCCTAGGGGTTGGCGGGGAGGATGATGATGGTGAAGTTCATAGGTCAAAGGTAAGAGAGACTCTGGTTTTCAAAAAACTGCTCTTGCCTGGTTATGGCTCATAAAGGAGGCATCTTGGTATTATGAATTAGTAGCAGGTTGGATTACCACCTAGGAATGAGGTGAACATTTGATCTTGGCACAAATGTATCAGCTGGTGGTAAACAAGTAGGAAATTAGATTAGGACAGTTTTCCAAGCATATTCTAATCTAACTCCCAGACAGCACAGTCAATGATAAGAGATTCTGGAAATGGGCTAAAAATGTCTGGAGGGGCAAAAATTGAGAATCATTAGGCTAGCAGTTTCCAGACTCCATTCTGACCCTAAATCAGTGGTTCTCAACCTAGGGTCCCCAGATGTTTTTGGCCTTCAACTCCCAGAAATCCTAACAGCTGGTAAACTGGCTGGGATTTCTGGGAGTTGTAAGCAAAAACACCTGGGAACCCACAGGTTGAGAACCACTGCCCTAAATCAAATTCCTTCTCACCAACTCTTCTATAGAAAAACCTATACTTTTCAGAATGGGTTGTGCAGAAACGAACAAGATGAGACCACTACAAAACTACACTGAAAAGCATTTTGGACTATGTCAGAAGTGCCAGCGAAGTTTGAGTAATTTTATTGATAAAAAAGTTTGTGTTTCTGAATGCTATTATCTGACAAACCTAAATCACGATACAGCAAGTTGGGAGGTACACACATTGTATGTGTGTCTTCAAACCGCCTGTTGACTTATGGGTAACCCATGAATTTCATAGGGCTTTCTTAGGCAAGATTACTCAGAAATGGTTTGTTAGTCCTTACTCTAAAATGCAGCCTAAAGCACCTGGTATTCATTGATGGTCTCCCATCCAAGAACTATCCAGGGCTGGCCCTGTTAAACTTCCAACATCAGATAGGATCGGGTGCCTTTAGGGAATTTAAGCATAAACATGCACATTCCTTTTCCCCACTATACTGACCTGTTAGAATGACATGGGTATGTGTTTGTGTAAGCCTGACCGAATGGGGTTTTCAGATCCAGCAACATTGACATCACCTTATGCTCCCCTCCCCCTGAAAATTATGGATAAAGAGAGAGGTGTGTAAATGATTCAAAGCAGAGCTAAGGGATTTGAGACCCTCTCTATGACACTCATGTGCACTCTGATCAGTATCAGCCAATATGGCCAGATGGGAGCTGGTGTACAAGAACATCTAGAGGGGCATAACTTATTTATCCCTGGCTCAAAGAGAGTAAGCAGTCCTGGCAAGCATTCTCTGAAAATGTGCTCTGGAAAGGAATTTAGTCCTCAGTGGAGAGCAGCTTTCCTACCCTGAGATCGATCTTTCACAGAGCTTTCTCAAGGACCTTGTGTGTATCTCATCAGCGTCTGTAATGTCTGCAGTTGAAATTGATCTTCTGTTCTTGAGATTATTAGGCTTATTAATCAAGGAAGGACAGTCAACAATTAGGAAAAGGATAGTGTGATTGCAGAGAGTGCAAAGAAAAATAATGGGATTCAGTGGATGTTTGCAGGACTACTTTGTCACCCAAGGAAAGACTTTTTCTCTGGGAAGGTAGAACCAGGGGATGTGTACTTGAAATCTTGGTAGCTTTGCTGATTGACATATAAGCTCCAAGGTGACTGAATATATGTTTCAAATGTATAATGCATTGTAAAATTAACATATTAACATATCAGTGGGAAGGGTCAGCATGATGAGACTGGAGGAGGTGAATGACAAAAAAAGTTAATGGCAGAGAGCAGACATATAGTTAAATCTAGAGAATACTATAGCTGTGTAACAGCAGCAAGGGCTGTGAAACTGTGGATCATTTTGGAGCCGCAGCAGCAGAATAGTAGAATAATGTGTAATCTCTGTGTTCCTCAGCCTTTGGATCACCTTAATTTATAAGCTCTGCTGAATTCAAGCCAATTGCACAAGCCGTCTCCCCCACATAAACATAGAGGTGTCGGGAATCTGAATTAATTGCAAAGAATGTATAAAGCGAGACAATAGCTTCACAGCTGTGGGTGGAATTATTAGGCCTATGGGGGTGGCTGCTTGGAGCTGCTGTTCTCACCTCATTAGAGACATGTCTTTGGAGGTGTAGAAAGACCTATAGTTTTGCCCTCTGCCTTCTGTTTATCCCCAGGATGTAGTGCTGGTATCTCTGCATACAATATTCATACTTCATTCTTTCTCTCATATGTTGGCTTCTCCAACAACTCTTCAAAAAACCATCTCTTTTTCCCCCTCTGGATATCTTTCACATGTGTTGTGTTTATTTCACATACAAGCTGTGGTTCAAAAATGTCCAGCACCTAAAAGTTTTCTGCGGGAATAAAAATCACATAGGTCTTAAATTAGCAGCTCATATATTCTCTTGAGTGTTTGAATCATGTGTCCTTTGTTTTGCGGCAGGGCTTGTTGGCAGGCACTTCACACAAGGCATAAGTATCATATCGATGTTAACTGATATAATATATCTTCATTTCCCCTGGATGTCTAGGAATCTCTGGCACATATCCTTTCTAAACCACAATGTTTGGGATGGGATCAGAAAGCCGTGGGGATGATATAAAATCAGTGTAGATTTGTAGTGTAGATCTACTCATAGCTTCTGATTCTGGGACCAGTATACACATGCAGGGTTGTTGTCTTCTTATGATCCATGGATTGGCACAACAGGATGTTTGTTTATACTTTGCTGAATTACTTCAAGAGGAACAATGTGAAAGCACTCTATGGACACTGTGGATTGCCACAAAAGACAAATGAATCTGTCTAAGGGAGAATCAAGTCTGAACCCAAACCAGAGGCCAAAATGATTGTGGAGATTGTCATATTTTGGACATAGCATGATATGACATTGAAAAGAATAGGGAAAGTAGGAAAAGAGTGAGAGACTACCACAAGAGAATTGTTTCAATCAAAGAAAATGTAGCCCTGAGTTTGCAAAACCAGAGTAATATAGTCATTCCTGGAGGCCTCTCATTCTTAAGTCTACTTAAGTCAAAGTCAGCTTCAGAACAAATATAAACAATAAACTTGTCATGTAAGTCTTCCTAGGTCAGAGCTTGGGTTATGTTTTATCACTTATGTAAACAGTGTGGTTCTGGCTGGCATAAACAAGTATCCTGAGTTGTACAACTGTATCCAACTCTGTCAGACTTTATTATTATAAATAGAGAGAGTCCCATGTAGAGCAATATCAGTGGTTAGGCTGCTGACAAACACTTTTAACATGCCAGAGATATGCAGAATTAAATGAGATTGGATGTACAACACTGGTGAAACTGACATTGTTTTCCTGGGCCCCTTGTCAGATTCATTTGTGCAGACCACAGAAAAAAAAAGGCTCGACAGTTTCAGCTCTTCTGTTTGCAGATTTCTGTGACCACATCAAGAACATACAACTACTTTGACACAGGAATAAATAATGTTGATATGTATGTGACTCAAAATAATTTGCAGTGCTGTTCTTTTGTTTCTTGCAGCATAATTACCCAGATTAGGTTTTAGTAGTTTATGGTAAAGGTTTCTCCTGACATCAAGTCTAGTTGTGTCCAACTCTGGGGGGTGGTACTCACCTCCATTTCTAAGCCGAAGAACCAGCGTTGTTTGTAGACATCTACAAGGTAATGTGGCCAGAATGACCGCATGGAGCACTGTTACCTTCCCACCAAGGCGGTACTTATTGATCTTCTCACATTTGCATGGGGCTCACCCCACTCCCCGAGTTCGAATCACCAGCCTTTCAACTAGCAAGTTCAGCAGCTCAGTGCTTTAACCCACTGTGCCACCAGGGGGCTTAAGTAGTTTATGTCTGCCTGCTATTTTTGTGTCTGGTTTTGACCATTTTTGTAGTTGGATATTTGCTGAATGTAGCATTTGTGGCGAGGAAGTAGGTGAAATTCCCAATCTCTTCTTCCTGTTCACTCTTTCCCTCAATGTCTTTTCTTCCCTCTCCAAACTCCCTATTTGGAAACTAGTAAAAGAGAGTTTTTGTAAAAGAAAATCAGTTGCTCTAGTGGTGAAGTCGAACCACAGAAAAACATTAAGGGAATGGAGGAAGGGGGATATTAGTTTTACATAGTAGGAAGCTGGAAATTTTCAAATAGAACATGGAAACACAAAACATTAGCACCTGTAGCCCTCGCCAGTGCACACCGAAGATGTCAAAACAAAACAAGGTGTTTTGTGGAATATAGATATGGAGTTTAAAAATATATCAGGACATTTCATACCTGGCAGAGAATAAGAAAGTTGCTGTAATTGATGGGTAGGTAAAGTAAAGGTTTTCCCTAACATTAAATCTAGTCGTGTCCGACTGTGGCGGATGGTGTTCATCTCAATTTGTAAGCCAAAGAGCCAGTGTCCATGAATACCTCCAAGGTCATGTGGCTGGCATGACTGCATGGAGTGCTGTTAACTTCCCCCTGGAGTGGTACCTATTGGTCTACTCACATTTGCATGTTTTTGAACTGCTAGGTTGGCAGAAGCAAGGGGCTAACAGCGGGAGCTCACCACTCCCCAGATTCAAACCACCAAACTTTCAGTCAGCAAATTCATCAGCTCAGTGGTTTAACCCATTGCACCACTTGGGGGGGGGGGGGGGCTCCTACAATTGATGGGAATGACCAGGAAATACACATACTCCCAGAAATAAATCTGGTGAATAAGTCAATGAAAAATGCTGTATCCAACTATATTTATCCAGTCTGAATGAGATCATGTTCCATCAATTTAAAGTTTGTCATCTTCCTTTGTAACTTCTTAAATAAATTTGAAGTATGGTAACCTTGAAATCGGTTAAAAAGGCACTGAGAAATTGAAATGCTGTGTGTTTAGTCCATATCTTTCATCTGTGCAGACAGAAACAACATTAAGGACAATTTTGACTGGACAAATAATACAAAGGAAAGAGTTGTTGTTGTTGTTCATTCGTTCAGTCGTCTCCGACTCTTCGTGACCTCATGGACCAGCCCACGCCAGAGCTCCCTGTCGGCCGTTACCACCCC